TTGGGGTCAGGAGCTCTGCACACTATATTCCCATTTGCTGGGCTACGTAATTGTATGAGCATCAGCAGCTCTCCCTCAAAGCCTGGACGTGTGCTTAGGAAAGCAGTTATTGGAGAGACTCCCAACAGACTGCAGCAGCAGTGTGGGTGATCAGCACAAGAGGTAGCTGCCAGCTGATGGGCAGGATTCATAAGATGCCGTCTTATTCTCTGTCGTCACTCCAAGCCTCGTGGGTAGCAGGCAATGTGTCTTGGAACTCCCCTTGCTTACAGCATGAGGCACAGCTAATTTAATTAAATGTGACCAAATATGGGTTTGCTGGGATTGCATAGGAGAGATGCTGGGTTGATTTAGCACTGGCTGAGACTGCCTCGTCTCTGAGGCAGCACAGGTCCCCACCTCACCTCATTTAGGCTTGGTCTCCATCATCTCCTAGTGTAACAGACACGTTACTGTGCGAGGCTAGTCTCTTTGCAGCTCTGGTCAGGAATGCTTAAGAAAAATAAAAGCAGATTATTCTGTACACAGAGAGAGGCTGCTGGATTGTTCAGGTAGATGGAGAAGGCTGGAAGCACAAAAATACAGGAGGGATCATTGTTTATAAATTCATTAAGAGAATAAATTCCAGGAACATTGAGAGCTGCTGAAGTTTGAGACAGAGGTGGAACAAAGACAGAGGGACTAAGCTGGCAGTAAATAAATAAAGGCTGAAAATTAGAATGTTTCTGACCATACAGAGGTGTGCTGGGAACATAAAGGTGACAGTGGGGAACTGTCTCTTGTCAGTGTAGCACACCTATGCAGCAGAAGAGTGATGGCCTTGCACTGCAGCCTCTTGTGAGCCTTTCTGTAACAGGATAAGTGTGAGCATTCCAAAGGAAAAAGCAAACAACTTCAGCTGTTGTGCTAAGCCAGAGCTTAGAACTGTATTTGTATTTATGAGAGATGATGGCTCACAGTGAGGTTAGCTGAACTGAACATGGCTTTGGACTATGCACAGCATCTCTCCTTTTCTGCTTGACAATGCTAATTTCAGTCCTTAAGCCAAACTTAGGCTCTCCTTATTGCATCCCTAAAAGCAGCTGGTTGTCTGATTTCTTTTAACATTTGTTGCTGAGTCTTGTTTGGTGAGAAGGGAGTTGGGAGGTGGGCAGCCTTGGGTGTGAGTGACATCTCCTGGCGGGCAGAGCTGCCAGTGACTTAGTGTGATTTCAGCTGGAGGAGCAGTTTCCTATGTGCCTTGAGGCTCTGGAAGACACTGGGGAGCATTCTGCTTCCTTGCCTTCGCACAGCGCTGCCTCGGTCCTTCCTGGGTTATTCACCAAGATCAACAGGGTTTCTGCAGCAAAGCTGCTGTCAGCTGGGGTGGCTGCCGATGTCATTCTCAGTTGACAGCTAACTCAGAGACAGAAAGGATGTTAGAACCGGGATGTTCTGGAACGTGCACCAGTCACTGGATGGAGTCAGTGGTAGCCCCTGCAAAAAACCCAAAGAGACCAAAATTAGAAATAGACAGAGATGCCTGAGCAGCTGGGCTGTGCTCCAACATCTGGAGAGTGCTTATTGCCTCAGGCAGGGCTCCAGCACCAGGCCGCTCCAAGCTTTGGGGTGGGGAAGAAGAAAAGCAGCGTAATTTCTATGCCTACTTAGGGCCTTACGTGATGTTTTTATCACCACTGACAGTCAGTACTATGGGAGAAAGAGCAGAGATCTGTCTCTATTTGGATTCTGGATGGGCACAGAGACAGAAGATAATGCCTGCTTAATCTTTAGCTGAGGAAAACTGCTAGTGGAAAAAAAGTCCTGGGGTCTGGGCAATCAGAGGTGCTAGAAGGTCAAGTATTGCCCCATTTGGTGTAGACTGAGGAGTGTTTCCATGGCATTCATCAGCATGAACATAGAGTGAAAGAAGCTGGAGGAGTCTAGGGAATAAGTTAATTGTTTAGCCACTGCAGGACATGCAATTATGTCTAGAGCTGATGGAGGTAACCAAGTGTACACAAAAGGGAACTTGTTCAAACACCTCACCTTTCTGAGCAAACAGCAGGTGAGTTTTATTTTAATTACGTTGAATTATTTATCTGGATTTGTAATGTTGTGGGTTTGTTGGTTTTTAAATAATTGAGAATTCAAGTCTGTACACTTTGAGTGCTATTTGGAAGATTATTGCTTCCAGATTATGCTTATCATTTTGTACCTTTTCTTGTATGAAACGTTTCAGCAAAATGCTGCTTCGTAACCTAGAGTTCACACAGATGGATGATCTGGTATGGGATACAGTGATGAAAGCCCCCAAGTCTTGAAAAGTGCTCATGATATTGAGACAAAATTCAGCAGACAAAAGTCATGTTCAGAGTTAAGGAAATAATGTGCCTTGGTAAAAAAATGACTAATCTCAGGTTGCATGTGGGATGCAGACAATCATAGTTACGTCTCTGCCTACAGACAAGGGATTTCTACAGCTAGGTATTTAGATGGTCCATTACAGTGAGAAAACTGTTCCTGCTTTGCTGTTAATGCTGCTACTTTCAGAGTGTGGCTGCTGAAAAGACACAGCAGACAGACAATACTCTTCACAGCAGGAAGTCTGGAAATCTTAGAACTGATGCAAAGTCACCCCCCCTTCAATCCTGTGAAAGTAAACACCCAACAAAGCCTCTAGTGGCTGCTTCTAGAAAAGATCTGAGTAAGGGTGGCAATAATCATATGGATGTGCTAAGCAACTGTCAGCAGCAGTTTCAGTTTTCAAGCATGCTACCTTCATATCTGTACTGTGCAGCCAATTATACATTAAAGCATCTGGTTTTATTCATTTTTCTAGTGTTAAAATAACTTTTGTTCAACAGACATGCTCGGTGCTATCATAACCTGAGGCAACTACGCTCTCTAATAAGAAAACTCTCCCAGCTGTCATGATCTTCTGTTTCTAATCACTCTAAGCCATGAGTTCTGGGGCCTTTTTGAATAAAGCTGTATAAAATGCATTCTTACCTCCTGCTGTCTGGTATGTGCACTAGACTATTTTTTTAAGCTGCATTCTTGGAGATATTGGCAAGCATGCTGTGCCTCTAACAGGCACTCACAAAATGCAAGCATAACAAGCTTCCAAATTTCACAGTTAGCCTCAGCAGATTTGCACAAGCAGGACATTTGGGAGCACAAAGCTCCAGGGCAGCGTTAGGTTTCCTGGACCTGCCTGCACTAAGATCTTTAAAACAAGTTCTCTTGGTGCTTTTAGGTTCTCTTTTCTCTAGGTAGGTGGGAAGACATTATTTGTCTACAGATAGAGATTTCCAGCCTTGCTTCTTTTCACTTGGGCTGACTTCTGAAAAGAACTCTGGGATTTTGGGTCATTTGTAAGGTTGGATGACACTTTCTATAGTTCTGGCACCTGAGACTACCTTTCATTGGAAACCAGAGTGGTTAGAAGATGACCCTGTTCAGAATATGAATGCTTCTCATATTTGCATGAGTGATGTGCGGAGCCAAGATGGATTTGGAGCATTGACCCAGTATCACCTGAGGGCTGGAGAATGACCTCTGGAACTCCAGTTCTGGCACACAGATGCAGAGCAGGTTCAGTCACCTTTCTTGGAGTGTGAAGATAGTTGATGTGGTTGCCTGCACAGAGGTTTTGTCACTCTGGATGACCCGTAACGTACTTCTAAACATCTCCTAGTGTATTTGTGTATGAGGAGAGGAGAGGAGAGATTAGTACCTGCATGAGCAGTCCAACAATCTGTGGTTTTGAGTATGGAGCATCAGTGTGAGTAGAAATGGATTCAGGTCATAGTGGGAGGAAGTTTGTGCCCTAGAGTGCCAAAGCTATTTGTTATAAGTGTTGAATTTACAGATAGATTATAAGCCTGGAAAATATTTTTGCTGATACCTTTTCTAGAGCTCTGTGTTGTGGACAGTATTTTTATTAAACAATTACCAAACTGGCTGAGCGTAAGTTGTGAAGTGAGATTTCCATCATGGGATATAGGAAGGAGAAACCAGAGCAAGAAAATACAGAAGACAGCATTATGCTAGCCAATAACAAATGCAGGTATATGTATATCAGTTTAAAACTCAAATGCCATATTGGTTGTGAAGGACTTCCATCAGCCGTAAGTGGCTTTTTTACTGAATTCTACTGCTAACCTTGTATTTTAAACCACAAAATAGTAGTTTGTTAGATAGGTCATATCAAATATATCAGCAACAGTTAAGGAATCAGACTAGTACAAGTTTTGCAAAGTGTGTGATTTTTAACCATGTTATGCCAATTCTGCAAATACAGACTATTCATAATTTACTGGTTTTGTGAGAAGTGGCATCAAAAAATCTCCATAGATCTCTTAACTACCCTATGGAGTGCAGATTATGTTTTCTATATAACATTGCCAAGGTGCAGGACAGCATTACTTGAACTGTCACTGCCTCTAACTGAAGTGTTAGTGTTGGAACCCCTAAAGGCATTACCAGTGATAAGGATGTTGTAAATTGTTATAATCATAAAAACCTGAACCACAAAGTATACTAGGACAAAATGTCACAGGGGTTAAAGCTTTGGGTTCCACAAGGTTATGTTTATATATTAGCAGTCTGCTCTTTCAGCTTCTCGAGGACTACTGAGCCAAGTGCAGAGCTACAGAAGAAGCTGGTGTTTGCCCCATACACATGTTTTTGCTATATGGTTACTCAGTCACCTGCAGGTATCTCAAGGACAGGCTAACCATAAGCTGCGTCTTGAAGTCCTCCTTCTTCACCAGTTGGCACTGGGCAGGCCATGGAGATGTGCCATGGCCCATGAGAGCAGATTAGCAGGACATCAGGGCGGAGCTCTTCCGCTAAGAAACCCCACATGAGGACATGGAGCAGGAGTTGGGAGCAGGGATGGGCAAAGGCAAATGCTACAGAGCAGAAAGGGACTGCAGGAATGTGCCTGAAGACCTTCAGGTTGAGGTAAGATGGGCTACAGGGATACTGACATCCTTTTTCTCCTCTAGTTACAGGTACCAAACCAAAGATGTCCTGGACAGGAAAGATTCTGCTCATCCTGGGATTTCTCTCTACTTTGGCTGTAATTGCTTTAATTGCTGTAGCAGTGACCCAGAACAAGCCACTTCCAAAGAATATTAAGGTATTACAAGCTAGGACTCTTACAGGAAAACAAGCCAAGCTGGGGGTTTAGGCATGCATGGTGCTCCAGGACATGTTGCTGCCCTTGCTGGGTCTGGCTAACCTCTTTTTCTGGCTCCATGCACCTTAACATCTTGTTTTACATCTTCATGGTAAAAACAGATATGGCTTCACAGGGGATCATCTCCTAAGTAATCAGTCCCAATTTTGCTGCTTCTCTGCTTTTGTGTCCCTTTGATGGAAACTTTGCACTGAAGCACTGCTGAGAAGTGTAATGACCCAACTGCCAGATAGGCTGTTCGTTTCTGGTCCCCCCACGTGTAGAGACCAGCGCATGCTGTGTATGGTTCAGTGCCTCAGGTGCAATGACAGCTCTGTTTTGCCAACAGTACGGGATTGTGCTGGATGCAGGGTCGTCCCACACTAACCTGTATGTCTATGAGTGGCCAGCAGAGAAGGAGAACGACACTGGGGTGGTGCAGCAGGTGGAGGTGTGTAAAGTCGAAGGTAAGAGGAGAAAAAGGAGCTGTGGAAGGGGCATGGCATGAAGAGATAATGCAACCAAAGGGTGGGGGAGGAGAAACCTGGAGGAAGAGGCCAATAGTGCAAACAGTGTTACACATCTGTGAGCTAATGTATATCCCACTGCTACCCACGGGGAGCTGTGTGCGCCTGACCTTCCTAAGAGGAAAGCAGGATCCACTTTTCCCTTTGTTTTTAGGATGCTTGGAAGTTTGTGCTTTTTGGAAAGAACTACATTAAAGAATGTACTTAAATAAATAGAGTGTCTGCATTCGCCCTTGCTGAAGTGCTGATGAACATCAGGCAGTGAGAGGGGAGGGCATGGTTTGCTCTTTTTAAAGTCTTCTGTGCAAGCTAGGCACTGGGCTTGCAGGCTAAGGTTGCTCAACTTATGCATGTCATGGTTTATTTTTAATTCTGTTTAATTGCTGTAGATATTGTAATAATATAATGAAGCCCAAGGATGCACAAGACAAGGAATGGAGCAGACCACTATGGATGGTGGGGGCACTGTGAGGGGCAGGAATTGTCAGCAATGAAGTGTCATTTCTTGCAGGCCCTGGGATCTCAGGTTACTCCCATGCCACAGAGAAGGCAGGTCCCTCTCTGGCACAGTGCCTGCGGCAAGCAGAAGAGGTGATTCCCTCGCAGCAGCACCAAGAGACACCTGTCTACCTCGGAGCAACAGCTGGCATGCGGCTTCTCAGGTACTGCAGAGCTTGTCCCCATCCCCCTGCAGCACCATGCCCAGGACCCCTGTGGATGCTCAGTGGGGGCCTCCTGAGCAAAGTCTTTGGAAATGCTGCCAATTCACCCTTTGCCAGATACCTTCTTCTGTCGCTGATCTCAGCCCCAAGACTGCCTGGGCTCTTCCCCTGCTCACCCAGCAGGTCCATTTCCACTTGCTCCAACCTTCCATCTTCTCCAGCCAGCCCAATGCAGTGCAGAGACACCAGGAGGGCAGCAGTGCCCAAGCTAATGCTCAGACACCCCCGACAGTCTGATATAAGACCTGACCTAGGATTTTTGTGCCCTATCATGTTGCAGCTCCCCCTGTACCTTGACTCAACTGAGACCATCAGAGCTTAGGTAGTTTTATAATCATATCTCCTCCTTTAATTCCAATTTGTGACTTTCATGGAGGTGCCCCAGACCTCTTGCCTGGCTGGGACAGAATGTTGACCTTATGTATGTATTGCCTGGGGATACCCGAGGGCATGGATTTCTTCTGTAATGGTGATGGCAAAGAGTGAGAGGAATTGCCACAGTGCAATCCCTACCAGGGCACACACCCCAGGAGAGCAAGAGAGCTCTGGTCTCTGTTCTAGGTACCACTCAGCTGCAGGGTCTGTAAGTCTCAGAGCTGTCACAGAGAGCTGTGACAGAGAGGGACACGGCCAGTTAGAGACGGATGTACCCATATGAATGACTGTTCTATTACAGTTAATGCTTGGTGGGGATTTGCAGCCTGCCTGCTCAGAATACAGCCCGTAGGCTGCAGAGAGCTGTCAGACAGAGTCACTCCATCCCTTCTTCCATTCATCCAGCTTGGAGAATAAAAGCGCAGCTGACAAAGTCTTGTCCTCGGTAGAGAAGACACTACGCTCAGCTCCCTTCAACTTCCAGGGTGCCAGAATCATCAGCGGTCAGGAAGAAGGAGCCTACGGATGGATCACCATTAACTACCTGCTGGGCAATTTCAAGCAGGTACTGTACCAATGGCAAATCCACACTGAATCATCAGCTTGCAGCACTTTGTAAATCATGCCTTGCAGGAGAGTGTTGCAGGTGCTATCTTCCCTTGTTAGCCATTTACCAAAGATCAGGATGCTGCTCATCTTGCCTCAAAAATTACTGTGAGTACATCCTGATACCAATAAGTATCAGGATGTACCACTGTAGTCAGGCTAGCATTGAAGTAAAACACCAGCATCTTCAATAACTTCGCTTGGGTTACAGCATCCTCCTCACTTCCTGATCTAAAATATTTCTGTGCCTGCAAAGTTTGACAATGATTCTTTACTACTGAGCTTATAAATCATCTGGGAGCTGAAACAGTAAGTTGACTGTTTCTCTCATAGCATTTGTATTAGATTTCATATTCTTAGTCCTCCTGCAAAGACTCAAGACATGATTCTTCTGCCTTTCCAAGCCTGCATCTTTCTTGTGTCTTGTTCCAGCTCTCATCGTGTTCCCCTCCAGGTTTTCCTGCCTTCCTTCCTGTGCTCTGTGTTTCTGCTTCTCTCCTCATAGGTCTTTCTCTTTTTTTTTTTTTTTCTCCCAAATGAATCTTCTCCATGCCTGATGTATCTTGTTTACTTTGAAATTTTTTTTTTTTTTTAAGTCTGGCTGGACAAAACTTCTACATTCCCTGAAATCCATAAGTGAGACATCAGGAGCACTAGACCTCGGAGGAGCCTCAACGCAAATTACGTTTGTACCAGATGAACTCTCTTCTGAGTCTCCAGAGAACCTGCTCTACTTCCGTCTCTATGGCAAGGATTACCTGGTGTACACACACAGCTTTCTCTGCTATGGGAAGGACCAGGCTCTGCAGCAGAAACTGGCCGGGGACCTGCAGGCAAGTACATCTGTAATTGCAGGTGGAGATCCAGGACCCTCCCAGTTTTGACATACTGGCACTGCAAAAGTTGCTGTGTCCCAACTACATGTCTCATCCCTTAGTCTGGGTTTGGGAAATGTCATTATCCTGCATAAAGACCAGGCAGATGCCCGAAGAGATGACAGTCAAAATTTTCAAAAGTATTACCAATTTGAGGTGCCTTGATTCTTGGGCAAGGTATAGCAGGAGTACTGCATTGTAAATGTAGTACACGGAGGAGGCAATATTTCAGCCTCCCCAAGAATCCCAGATCAACAGCAGCTTCACAAAATGTGGCTGCAAGTAACTAGCCCGGGGCCCTACAGGGAGGCTGTGGCAGTACCCACATCTCCCAAATCACAGCCAATGCCTTAAACCATCTTCATCACTTTGACCCGATGTGTGCATCTCAGGGTGATGTACTACAATAAGTGTCTTGTGGCCACCCCTCCCTGTGGCTCTTTCCCAGGGTGTTACTCTGGAGTGAAGTGTTAACAGCTTGGGTTGATTTTACTTTCAGACCATGGAGACCAGCAGCCTCCTTGATCCGTGCTTTCACCAGGGGTATCAGAGGACTGTAAATATAAGTGACCTCTTCAAAAACCCTTGCACATCAGCCAAGAAAAAGCAATTCCCTTTCAGCCAGCTGCACATCCAGGGAGAGGGGAATTATCAAAAGTGCCGAAGAAACATCCAGAAACTCTTTAACAAAACAAATTGTCCTTACTCCAGCTGCTCCTTCAATGGGATATACCTACCTCCATTACAAGGGGATTTTGGCGTAAGTCTTCACATTCTTAACTCTCTATAACCCAGAATATCAAAAGAGCAGAAACTCAGAGTAGTGCTAGAGTGTATTCTCCATGGCTGGGGCCATTTACGAGATGGCTTTTTTGATATGTAACTACAAAAGTAGTGCTGCACTTGCTGTGAGGACACCATGTGCAAGAGCTACTGTGGTAAACAGTGGCCTACTAGTAGTGCACTGTTCCCACTCTAACCCATCTCCTGTAGGCATCTCCTTGGAGTGCTCCCTTTACTGATTCATTTTTGAAGCAGTCCTTCCTGATGGCCAGCACCAGTGGCAGGAGAGGCTGCTGCAGGCCCTTCATGAAACACTGCTCCTGCAGACCTTGTCTCCTGAGGTCAAGGGTGGTACCAGATCTGAAATTCATCCCAAAGTGTGTGAGTGCTACTGAAACCAGTCAGCTCACCTGTCTGCTTCCCAGATGTGATGAGGAGACAGTGCATGCTCTGAACACGCATCATGTTGATGCCACACTGAACGTCAGTCCTAGGGCTGTAAGACTTCAGCAGCTGTGAGGCTTTCTAGGGAACTGTTAATACTCCCTTGCCCTGTTCATAAACTGCTCCCTACCTATCAGCTATTGGCCATGGTCAGAGATGGGTTTTCTGGGCTTTGGATTACATGTTGGGGCTGTGTACAGTCCTTTCAGACCATCACCTCTGCTGTTTGTGGAGATATTGGCTGCATGCTCATCTCATTCAGTGGCCAAAATGGGCTCACGGTTGTGATGGCAAGCAGCGTTCCCTGTGTGCCACTCTGGCACCAGGACATAGAGGAGAGGGATTTACTGAAGTTCTTCAGGGTACTGTGACCAGTGAATTTCCTACTTCCAGCTTCCTTTCGGAGTCCCTAGCTCTCATAGGTTCTCATGGGTGTGTCTCGAAAGGACATTGCTCTTGAAAGTATACCTGTTTTTGTGTCTGTGATGTTGCTGCTTGTATTTCTCTATCTGTAAGTAAAACCATTTTCTTTTGCGGGAGTTCCACTGTCCTGCTCATGCTGAGGCCCAGTCAGGTTGAAATATTCTTTCTCCTTCAGGCTTTTTCTGCTTTCTACTTTGTGATGAACTTTTTGAACCTGACCAGTGAACAAAGCCCCATTGCCCTGGATAAAGTGACCAGCGCCATTGAGAGCTTCTGCACCCGGCCTTGGCATGAGGTGAGCAGCGCTTGTGGCAGTGGGGCTGCTGGCTGGCAAGAGCTGATGATATTTTTCTGTAGGATAAATGGTTGTGGGTACCTTCCAACGCAAATGGGGGAAGATCACCCCCAGCACCTGCAGTGGCACAAGCTGGAGCAGTGGGAAGCTGTGTTTAGCAGCCTGGTGACTTCTTCCTTCCCTAGGTGAAAACGGCATACTACCAAATAAAAGAAAAGTACCTGAGCGAGTATTGCTTCTCTGGAGCTTACATCCTTTCTCTCCTGGAAAATGGCTATGAATTCACTGAAAAGAACTGGCAAAGGATCCACTTCCTTGGCAAGGTGTGTTTTGTGGCCAGGAGGGCTCTACCCCCGCAGCCAACTGCAGCCTCTGCTGCACAGCCCGGCCCTTTTCCCCAGGGGTGTCACTGCCCTGGCAATGCCACAAGCAGCCCCTGCACCTCCCAGCGCTGATTCTGCTCCTCTGCTGTTTCAGATCGGTAGCAGTGATGCCGGCTGGACCCTGGGCTACATGCTGAACCTGACCAACATGATCCCTGCAGAGGAGCCCGCTGTGCCCCCTCTTTCCCATGGCAGCTACGTGGGGCTGATGGTGTTGTGCTCCCTTGTGCTGGTGTCCGTGCTCCTGTTTGCCTGGCTTCTCTACCACAAACCCAAGTGCCTGCAGAAGGGGATTGTTTAAGAAGAGCCCTGGGGGGAGAGGGGCCATGTCACCCCAGCTGCTTAGGGCTAGGAGACCCCAGGAGAGCAGGCTGTACTGCAGAGCCCCTCTCTCCTCTCACTGAAGCTACTGACTGTGTACAACAAGGGCATTTATTTCTTCTGACTCACACTTGCACTGACAGACATTGGGACATGAGGCTCACCACCTCTCTCTGCCAAGGACAGACAAGCAGGTGTCCCCTCCTTGAATGGGTCATGATTTCATTCAATGAAACTTTGCTGCTTGTTGGTTTTTGCCTTGTGCACAGCATTATAAAAAGAAAAGCAGCAGCAATCTTTGGGAGCCAGTGCTCCTGCAAGGGTAATCTCAGGGTCACACATCCCACTGAGCTCTTGGGAGCGATCACACACAGGGTAATCCTGTCCTCCTCTGCTTAAGCCGTTCCCGAGAGCCCTTTGCGCACCAGCAGACCGCCGCTCACCTCCCCACGCCCAGAGTCCTCACAGCCCTACAGCTGGGTATGGCCACCTGCACCCAGCTAGTCCCTGAAGGCTGGCCAGGCTCTCAAATGCCCCTCTGGGAAAAGAAGGGATGAATATGAAGAAGCTGAGTGTGCTGGTGGTCACCCACCCTTAGCTGGGCTCTGGTGGCTGTCTGCTCCTTTCAGAGGTGGCAAGGAGCCTCTTTCCCAAGTCTTCCCGATTGTTGTTGCTGGACCAAAGCTGGCTCACTGTTACACATGAGCCGTGTCCTTATGGTACATAAAGACATGAGTTCCCACCCAGGCGTTGCTGAATTTTGTAGGAACAGCTCATACTGGATGAGGATTCTTGACCAGTAGCCTGTGCTTATGCCTGCAGAGTCTCCAGTGTGATCAGTGTGCCTACAGGTATCCACCCACTAAACCAATCCAGTATCACTGTGCTGACCATACAGCAGCCTCTGATCTAAGGAAAATGTTCATTAGGTCATGTTCCTTTATAAATAGACAGCTGGCAGCAATTAACCAGCATGAGCCTGCACAGATTAAACCACCTTTTCCACGAGCAAATCAGTGAAAATTTGCCTTTCCTTCCCTCATGGCTTAGGCTTATCCCATGACCATAAGACCCAGGGTTTATGAGTGCACATACTGCAGCCCAACTTCTAGCAAACAACTAGGGCAATGCCACTGATCAGGTTTATGAGTCACTTTCTTCCATTTTCCATTCCTTGGTCGAAAAAAAAAAAAAAAAAAATAAAAGGCAAGTCAGAAATCCATTTTTATAAAAACGCTTGGAAACCACTGGTGCCTGTCTAGCTCCCACGAAATCTCAGAAATCTTTTCTAATGACCTGTAAGTGCTGGAGGCCAAAAGAAAGCAGATATTGTGGAGAGAAAGGCATGGCAGACAACACACCTTCACCTGCTTCCCCGAGCAAAGCTGTAGAAGGTGCAGAGCAGATCAGTATGTGCAGCCCCAATAAAGCTGCCTCCTTTAGGCAAGCACAGACACAGAGCTCAGTGTTTTCATGCTCTCCTAGCCTATTCCTCTGCACAGTGCAGGCTGGAAAATACCCCCAGTTATTTCTGCTTTGTGCCTGGAAGTAGGAGCTGTAACATATTGAAGGACCTAAAGGCAAGGGAAAAATCTACCCTGTCTTGTCGTAAGATCTTTGAGCAGTTCATTGTTCTTCCAAAAATCTTTGTCTTACTTTTGCTCTGAACTAGGTGGCTTAAGCTTCTGGTGGATCTTGTTCTGCCCGTTTCAGAAAGACTGAGTAACTCTCTGCTATCAAAATACCTTTTTCCTTGTTGGTGCTTGCAAGTTGTCATTGTGTCATATTAAATAGATTGATCTTCAATCTGTAAATTGCTCTGTGCTGACCTCACTTGCAGCTCTTGACTCCACTTCTTTGATTTGAAATTTTTACATCTTTCTGAAATTTTGGCACCAAAGTTTTTAGCAGTGAGGGGTAGTGGAGTTACTAACAGTGTATACAGAAGTAACACCCTCTGGTTTTGATCTATACTCTGTGTTCCCCATTTGTATATCTCAGGGCCAGGTCCACTCACTTAAGAGAAAGTTTTGGGGCTGTTTTGTCCAGTTGGACTAGTGCAATTTGGCCTTTTTTCCAGTGTTTGTCTTCCAAAAGAGCCACTGTCTCCCACTGTACATCACTGTCTCTTAACATGAGCTGCTTCTCCTTCCACATGGCTCCACTGAAACATGTACTATTTAAAGAATATTCCCCCAAGCAAGGGATCCAGATCGACCTGCAAATGACACTTCCTTCCACTTTGTCCATTGATCAGTTTTTGGCTTATCTGCAAATACATTGAGATGTTGGAATTCATCTAGAGATGGAGTCTTCCTTCTCTTGTTTTCCGCAAAGACAGGTAGATAAGAGATTAACAGTAGTTTTTGGTCACAGCTGGCAGGCATGCAGGAGGAGCATGTGATCAGAACTGCTCCAGCTCCCAGCTCAGCCCCACTTGTAACACACCCCATTCTGTGCCACCTTCCTTGCATACAGAGTCTCTGTAGCAGAGCAGGTGCCCTGTAGAAGCTCCCGCATGAGCTGGTGCATCTTTTCTCCCTATAAACAGTGTGGAAACCTGCAGAATGGTAATTTCTGTCCTGAGACCTTCTCAGGGATCTGGCAGCTGCTGAGTTGTGTCTATGATGCTGGAACTGGCAGATCCATTGGGGCATTTCAGAAACTGATGCAGAGACTCCATGTGGAAGCTGGTGTGCAGAGGGCCTGTGCCAGTCTGCTCTTCTCCCTGTTAAAGGTTTATGCCAAAGGCGAAGGTCAAATACAGAACCTGGGAGAAGAGCTTTAGCAATGTTTTGTAGCTTTATTGCAAGTCCCATAGTTTTAATATTGTTAGCTCTTGATTCTGGAGTCAGGTGCTCAGCTGGTATCTTCGCTTACTCTGTTCTGCCTTTCTTGTCTTGCATTTTGGTTTGGGTTTTGGGTATTTTTAAGGCTGTAAATGTGACTTGAGTGCAATCTAGAGGTCCTGAACGAATACAAAATATGCTACATTGTTTTTAAACCTTATGATTTTTAGACCGCATTTATGAATCAATCTCTCCAGAACGAGAATTTCTAAGGTGACACCAGATCTGCCATTTATAAATCACTTGAGCAGGCTGAGGCTCCCGGAGTTGGCTGACTGAAGGCATCTTATCAGGGTGAGACCCTCGCATATCACTAGCTGTGCCTGAACCTTCCCAGAAAAGCATATGATTTTTTTTTTCCTCACTATTTCTCCTGCTATTGCAGGACTTTATCCATGGAGGCTACTCAAAAATCTTTGGACAAAGAGTTCAAGTTTAATGAACATTTTTTCTTTGCTTCTGTGCTGCACCTGATCCAGCTGTACTCACCTCCCATGTGTGTTCCAGAGCCACCCAATGTGTACATGAAGACCATTACCAATAGTAGGGGAAATTTATAAATATGCCAGTAATAACATGGTATCACTTCTCTTGTTAATGCAGTTGATCTGCCTCACTGATAATTATCTGTGCCTTATATCTAACTTGATAGCTTCTGGCTTTAATTTCCAGCCACTGGCTCCTGTACAGTTTTGCTCTTCTGGGTTAAAGTATCTTTTAACACCGCACGTTCTTGCCTTGCAAATATTTATTCACTGATCAGCTCTGCTGGGCTGCCAAGACTCCAGACCTTGGTCTCTCCTGTTTTGCCACAGGAAGCCCCAAGATGTGCCGCAGCAAGGTGGGATGAGTGTCTCTGGTTTGGGTTCAAATGTTGAGTGGTCCATTTTTAGGAAGGTTCCTTGCAGGGGGATTTTGATAGCTTTGCAGGGTGCAGGAGCAGTCTGGTCTCTCTGGGACTGATGGCTTCCCTCTCTTGTGTTCACACAAGTGTCACACCTGAGGCAAAACTATTGGTGAGCCTCAGATTTTCAGGGGTCAGAAGAGAAAGCCTAGGTGCCTGCAGCACGCTCACCTCCTGCAGAAAACAACCAGTTCCCAGCACAGGCTCTAAGTACCCTTTGCTTCCCTCCCCGACACCGCCAGCTCTCCCCTGTGCAAGGGCTACAGCTGATTCTCTGGCCCTACAGCAAAGCACAGGGGAGTCTCCACTTGGAAGAAAGCTCTCGGAAGTGGGGCCATCACCTCTGCGGTGAGAGGCTGATTTGCAGTGTTGCTGCTGGCCAAGGCTTCCCAGCTTCTCCAAGAGCAGCTCACAGCTGCATGCCTGCCTCCTCCTTCTCTGTCCCAGTTCTCCCCGCGCTCTGTGCCAGGGGAACGTGCATGATCTGTGGGGCTGCTGGCAGTGTGGGAGGTCAGCAGCCCGTTCAGGAGGGGCTGGGGGGGGCACACCAAGGACAATAGGCCCTGACACCCAGGCCATGCACTTTCTTTTTGCAGTTCAGCCCTGATGAAATGGATCTTTGTTTTGATTCATGCACAAATCTCTGTATCCTTATCACAATAAAACATTCTGAACTGATGCCACAAAGGTTTTTCCACTGTTTTCCCGAAGACAGGAACTTGCTAATAGTGGTGTGGAGCTTCTGGCACTAAACATGGAAAAGTCCCAAGATGGGATTTCCTCTCTTGCCTGTCCCCTGCTGTTCTCTGAGGCCGCATCTGAATTTCCTGGTGGATGGGCAGCATCCCCTCCTGGCAACGAAAGGCACTGTGGTCCTTCCATCTCCAGGCACCTCACACGGGTGGCCTCGCTCCTGGGAAGGCTCTTAGTGCCCAAACCCCATCTCTCCTTGCTTCAGCTTCACCCTGACCTGCCTAAAGCAGCTTGTTCTCCCTCGCCATGCACTGGCTGGCTACAGTCCCCTGTGCTCATTTTTCCACTCCCTCCCACAGGCAGCACCATTGGGATCATGCTGGCACTGCAACCCCCCAAAACAGGTGAAGGATGTGGGGCCCGTGCCTCTCTCTTGCAGGACTGCACGGCTGCATGCCTCTGCGTGCTGCTACAGCTGAAGCTCCGCCAAGGCAAACATACTTGTCACGGCTCATCACTTTTCTTTTAGCACAC